TAACACACATATTTGTTTTTTTTTAATTTATGTGCGTTTATGTTTAACACAGTTTTAAATTAGAAGTAAATTATTAATCTTTAGAACAAAACAAACAAATTTTTAATAAATTAAAAGGTCTTTTTTTATATGATTTCCAAATAAGTTTAATTAAATAAAAATGTATCCATCAAACTACATATCGTTTTTCTCAAAATACAATGTTAGAATAACAATGATAGACGATTAGTTAAATTTTTATTTATAAAATAATTTTTTATTCCAAGTTTATCGTATTTATTGTCAGAGTTCATTTTTCATAAAACAGAAACTTAAAACTAAGTGTAACATTAATCTTATGTTTAATTAAAAAAAAAAAAAAAATAATGAAATTACATTTTCTTATTAAAGTCAAGTAAAAAGGGTGAAGCTCCATCGCATCAAGTCTTATTATTTAAACATCTTGTTTTATGGATTTTGCAGCAATTTCCACATATTTTGTTTGATTAAAACGATAACAATCTCTGCATTGTTGCAAATGACTTTGCATAGTACCCATGGGTACATAGTGAGTAGCATTATAAATACACTGTTCCAATGGTGGTCCACAGTAATTTTTGCGACATTTTACTATATGGGCTGGCATACGATAAAGAACAATGCGATGACTGCTATTAAAAGGGCAAATGCCAAATTCTTCGTCGGACATTATAGCGTTCCTAGAGATTTTTCTTTAAAATAGCAAAAATTAAAATGAAATAAACAAAGTAAATGCGACAAAGAGCTGTGTACTAAAAACACTGAACACCACTAAAAAGGTGATGCCAAGTTTAGTAAGGTAATTTTTTTTAAAGTTGCCATATTTATGGGTAAATGCTTAATATAAGGTAAGTGTAGAATCATTTTCGTTAAAATTTAGTTTTACGCCTGAACTAACGAATAGAAAAATTAAGATATTCGTGTATGTTCTGTAAATCGAATCTGTTTAGAAAATTAAACTTATTTTAAATGAAAAGCATTTATATTAGTATAAGTCTCAATTGTATTAAACACGTAAAAAAAATAATCATTTAATTTATTAGAATAAAATTACATTCGATTTACTTTCGACTTGATTTGGGTACTCGGATGCTGTTTGCAGAACAGGCAGGATTATATGGAAGAAATCTTCTAGACTAGGGTGATTACATACACAAAGTTTAAAATCATATTTAATAGTTTAAGATATGTAGGACAATTAAATATTGATTTGAATGGAAATTCTACAATTATACAACCCGTGAAAAATTATTATTGCCAAATCTTGTTTTAAAACGAATGGATTTTTAGAGAAATCATATATTTTGAATAATCTATTGGTCAAAATTGTAGAGTTGACACACTTTTTTCTTATTTGTAGGCTCACTTTATTAATTATCTTTTTATATTATGCTCCTTTTACACCTTACAAAATGCAATTTACAAGATATCTTGTTTCAATTGTTTTATATTATAAATTTCTAGACGTAGTGGTTATACATTAATATTTAAAACAATTTACAAAAAAAATAAAAAATTCTTGTCTTTAAATTTAATAGTAGTTAAATTATTTAGTTTCCTTGGCCTCCTTAGAGTTTTGTAAAGTTTGTGTAATGAAAAGTTTAGCCAAAGATTGAGAGCAAAATTGTGAAATATGCTGGGAATAAGTGTTGATTTGACCCGACGAAATAGTGGCATTGAGTCTGGGTGGAACAGGTATGGGGCGGAATTGCTTAAGAACTTCATCATCGGGAACTGGGGATTCACCTTTGGCAACGCGTAAAGCATTCTCAGCTGTCTGCTTGGCCAATGCACGGTGTTTCTCCTAAAAGAAGACACAAATATAAATTAAAAACTGTTATCTTAGAGTAAACAACAAAATTAAATTACCGTTTCTTGTTTGAAGACAACTTGTTGATATTTATTGTAGCGTGTAGACTCCTGATAAAGTTCATCGACACGTTCGATAAGGCAACGCATATGATTCTCCAATACCGAGGCGGTGCCCAAGTCTAGGAAATTGTGTCCCTGTTCTTCGGGCATCATTTCACACAATTCCGACATCATGATGTTAGTCAAAGGTGAATTCTTAATAACAATTGGAATTTCAACAAACAGACTCTCATAGCCTACTTTCAAGTTGCGCAAAGCATCGGAAGTGAAATCACCATCTTTATACATTTGTATGGCCTGAGGAGTCAAACGGTAGGCCTTCAAACACAAGAATCCACGTCCCGACTTTTGTGTGTCGTAGATAACAACAACCGACTCTTCGATGCTAGTCTGATAGTGGTATTGGGACTCCAAGAGAGCCATAGACAAAAAGTTACCAACATTGGAACTTTGATACCAGCCCACATGAAAGTGATCAACATTAACACGTCGCAAACGGCGCATCATGGTCAATTGATACATTTCTTCGTCCATGGTTTCATCGTCGCTCTTGGGAAAAGGGAAACAGTTGGTGATTTCCAAACACTTGTTGACCACCAGACCCAATAGAGCACCTTGGGCCAAATCCAAATTACTGGACTCTTCATGGCAATGTTTCACCATTTTCATAACAGCCTGGAAAAAAGAGAGTGTTGGGATATTTAATTACAAATGCACAGGTATCAAATTCTTAAAAGTTTGAAGGTTTAGTTTACGGCTATGTCAGAAGTAGTTTATCCTAATGCTTTTTAACGTAGTTTCAAGGCTCTGCGCTATTGAATCATATACACTATACCATAGTGTACATTTTTACACAATAACCATAATAAATAATTCTATGGTTGTATCATATCAAATTATCAAATTTTTATTTAAAAAATATGATAAACATTTTTAGTACACTATTTTGTTTTTCTCTTTTTCTATTATTTGCAACCATCTGGCATCTCATGATTTTGCAGAAATACACAAATGTCAAATGCGAACGTGTGAATTTTTTTCTTCTTTTACATGTCTACAAGACGCAGCCCAAAAATTTTAAAGCCATTTTTTTTGCATAAATTTCATACATATTGCAGAAACTTTGATGAAATACTTTAAAGATTAATAAAAATTAAACAAATTACTTACCAAACCGTCACATTGTACGTAATTAATGGTATTATCCACTTCTTCAGTTTGACGAGCACGATTTCCACGATTTGCCATTTTGAACGTATATAAAGAGAAAAGAAAGAAAACTGATTAGTGGCGGTGACAAACAGAGAACGGCGCCGTAAATGAATGCAACAAAACGCCGCTTGGCGTTAAGAGTATCAGCGTCGGCTTTATAACGACTGTGAGCCGTCTAATAAAATATAATATTAATAATCGAATTTTCAAGAATTTAGCAAAAATGTTAAGAAAAATATATTTTTAAATTTTATATTGTGGGTTAGATTTATTCAGATTTTAACCTGGCCAGAAATTAAAATTAAATTAATTGATGATGACAAAGGGCAAAAATATCCAAAGGAGTGCTGCCAAATAGTGACAACTCTTTTTACACCCTACACTAGGGCTCTATAGTTGAAACAAAAAGTTTATTTTTCGACATTTACAATTTACGAAGTAGAATTTTCGATTTTTTACAATTTTGAAATGTCGATTATTCGAATCTTTTTCAATGTGTATGAACTGTTCAATGTGTATTTACTTTTGTTAACAAAAACAAAAGACACATAGGGGGTCAGAAGTAACGATCTGTAAAACCTCCTATTTTTATTACTATAGACTAATCTTTGATCCTGGTACAGTGGGATAAATTGCAGCATTTCTAAGAAAATAGATTTTAATTATTTTTTTATATCAACTTTCCAATTTTTTTATTTTTATCGACGTTTCACGAGTTCCGCTTTTCGAATTTTTTTCCTTTAAGATAGTCCACATTTTTTAAACAAAATAGTAGATTTTGCTTAAATGTTGCACACAAAAATTCACAAAATATAAATAAATTCAAAGGTAACGGTTACTTTTACTTATTCATAAGTTTTTAGTACAATTTTTTACAACTGTGTTTGAGTTACAAAACAAAATGAACTTTGAATGAACCCATTCCTTTAATTAAAGTACTAAAATAATTTGACATTGCAATGTCTACGTCATTTGACGTTTACTCATTTTACTGTTGATATTGTTATTGTTGTTGTAGTATATTGCACTTTTTTGTTAAGCAAAACTGCCGGTCAATAATAAATTCACTTGTCGAACAAGCTTCTTTTTTAACTTTTTTAAATAAAAACTTTAAGTTTTTTTAAGAAAATCTTTATAATTCTCTGCAAATAAACATGTCTAACAACAACAATCAATGGGAAGTGGTAACCAAATCGAAAAAACAAAAGAATTTGGAAAAGAAGGTAGTGGCCCATAAAGAAAAGAAAAAAATAGAAGCTCTGCAACCTAAATTGGAAGAAATATGTAAGATATTTAATAAAATCATTTAAATTGATAGAAAATATTAAAGGGTTATTATTTTTTATTTAAAGTTCCTTCACATCAGTATCGTAAGATTATTACTGGCCGTGGTGGTGGTCAAGATAATCACTCACCGGCCAAATCAAATGCCAGTTCGAAGTCCAAAGGTTCTACCCCAAAAAAAACCAACAAAACTTCTAAAGAATCTTCACAGCCTAAAGATTCGAATAAGAAAAGTAAAAATGATACTATTAATAAAGCACCAGCAAAACCCAAAAGTTTGGAGCAGGCTTTTAAAAATTTAACAGCTGATGATTTTGCCTCGCATTTGGAACAATTGAAAATTATATATCCTGGTTCCAAATTGGCCTGGTTGAAAGAGGTGTGTATAAATTTAGAAATTTTTTTACTTATAGGTAGCGGGAAACAAACTTTAGTGGAGTCATTTACTATGTATTAAAAATTGTATGACAAAAATTTTAAAATTTCTTTGTCAGATCGCCAACTATTTGAATACCAATTTACCATTTGATTGTGATCCGATATTTTCTGGTAAATCCATAACATATCCAAGCAATTTAGCTTCACCCGCCTTTAAAGAAGCCCTACTCGATTTCCTTTCATCTGAGGGTGAAACCAACCTAGAGTACTTCTTCCATTATACTCTATTGGAGAGTATGTGCACGGAATTAAATAAAAATCTACCTGTTGTTGGGTATAAAGTAAGTTGAGCTATTTTTTTTAATATTAAATAGTAAAGCAACAACTTTTACTTTTAGTTTCTTCTGCAATTAATTGCTCAAAATTGGCCACAAATATGTTCCAATAAAATGGCCAATACAGCCATGTTAAGGGATTCCTATCAAAATCGCAGCAATATTTGTTTAAGCATATTATGGGCCATCGGTCAAGGTGGCTATCAACATCTAATGGAAGGTATTAAAGGTAAGTGTGTTTAAATAATACATATATTTAATTCAAAGTTTGTAAAAAATACTCTATCTTTCTTACCTCCAAAAAGTCTGGCAAAATTTAATGTTGCCCAATTTAACTATGAAAAGCTATAGTCGTTTCATTTGTGAATATATTGAAAAAGTATTAAATTCAGCCATTGATCAGCGTTTGAATATGAATCAAAATGAGTTCTTTGCCACCTATAATGCTTTAAAAAGCCAATACCCAGGACTACCGCGTGAATGTCAACAAGCCTTAACACGCAGCTCCTCTTTATTTTTGGTGAGACAAATAAACGTTAATTGAATTTAATTTCCTTTTATAAATATTTCTTTTATTTTAGCAAAAATATATAGTTAATACTACCAGTCATGCAAATCTCTTTGTAAATTTATTAAGAGACAATGAAATAAATGGCTGTCTATCGGCTTTATTACACAATGATGATTGTTTTAAAGTTTGGAAAATGAATTATAAGAAACAATTGGTACCAACCATGAATTTATTAGAAAAACTGGGTAAGTTTAAAATATTAAACAATTTTAAATAAATAATAATTATCGTTTTTATCCTATTCTTTTCAAGAAACTGAAATATTTGATAGTGCCACCTCTTTGGCCATATCTCCAACATTCCATAAATTTTTACATGAAGCTGAAGTATTAAATTGTGAATTAGATGCTAGTAAAAGACGTGATCCTAATGTTGATAGACTAATAGAATTGATAAAGGTAAGTTTTAGTTATTTCAATTTTAAATTAAAACGTTTTAAAAATACTTTAATATTGACGTTGAAGTGTAAAGTATTCTATGTGACGGCCAAACTAAATTTAATACTATTTTTACAATTGTGCCGTTGTAGAAATGCAATGAATATGGGGTTCATTACTGGAGTTGCCGTTGTTTGTTATGTTCTTTGAGTAATCGAGTATGAAGTAGGGTTCTATAAATCGACTTTCGAATAATCGAACAATCGACTTTTTGTCGAAAAAAGTCGAAAAGTCGAAGTCGACTATTTTGTTCCAAAAAAGTCGATAACTCGACTATCGTCTATGAAAAAAGTCGAAAAGTCGACTTTGTAAATAAAAGTCGAAAAAGGTCGAAAAGTCGAAAAGTCGGAAAGTCGAAAAAAGTCGAAAAGTCGAAAAAAGTCGAAAAGTCGAAAAAAGTCGATAAGTCGAAAAAAGTCGAAAAAAAGTCGAAAAGTCGAAAAAAGTCGAAAAGTCGGAAAAAGTCGAAAAGTCGGAAAAAGTCGAAAAGTCGAAAATAGTCGAAAATTTTAAAAAAGTGGAAAAGAGGTCAAAAACTCTAAAATAGTCGGAAAAACTCGAAAAAAGTAAAAAAAATAGTCGAAAAAAGTCGAAAAAAAAGTCGAAATAAGTCGAAAATTTTCAAAAAGTCGTAAAAAATCGAAAAGTCGAAAAGTCGGAAAAAGTCGAAAAGTCGAAAAAAGTCGGAAAAAGTCGAAAAAAGTCGAAAAGTCGAAAAAAGTCGAAAAGTCGAAAAAAGTCGAAAAGTCGAAAAAAGTCGGAAAAAGTCGAAAAGTCGAAAAAAGTCGGAAAAAGTCGAAAAGTCGAAAAAAGTCGGAAAAAGTCGAAAAGTCGGAAAAAGTCGAAAGGTCGAAAAGTCGACCAGTTATAAAATACTAAAAGTCGAAAAGTCTAAAGTCGACTTTTAAATAAATGAAAAAGGTCGAAAAGTCGAAAAATCGACTTTTCATAAAATGGAAAAAGTCGAAAGGTCGAAAGTCGACTTTTAACTAAATGCAAAAAGTCGAAAAGTCGAAAAGTCGACTTTTCGTTTCAACTATAGAACCCTAGTATGAAGTAAACGAAAAATTAACCGCTGCGGTAAGCACTCAAATATAGATAGATAGATAGATAGATAGATAGATAGATAGATAGATAGATAGATAGATAGATAGATAGATAGATAGATTAGATAGATAGATAGATAGATCGATAGAAGATAGCTATATAGATAGATAGATCGAATAGATTAGATAGATAGATAGATAGATAGAGCGATCTATCGATCGCTCAGAATAGCTAGATAGATAGACTAGCTACTCTCTCGCTCGCTAGATGCTCGCTCGCTCGCTCGCTCTCTCGCTCGCTCTCTCGCTGCTGCTCGCTCGCTCGCTCGCTCGCTCGCTCGCTCGCTCGCTCGCTCGCTCGCTCGCTCGCTCGCTCTCTCGCTCGCTCGCTCGCTCGCTCGCTCGCTGCTGCTCGCTCGCTCGCTCGCTCGCTCGCTCGCTCGCTCGCTCGCTCGCTCGCTCGCTCGCTCGCTCGCTCGCTCGCTCGCTCGCTCGCTCGCTCGCTCGCTCGCTCGCTCGCTCGCTCGCTCGCTCGCTCGCTCGCTCGCTCGCTCGCTCTCTCGCTCGCTCGCTCGCTCGCTCGCTCGCTCGCTCGCTCGCTCTCTCGCTCGCTCGGCTCGCTCGCTCGCTCGCTCGCTCGCTCGCTCGCTCGCTCGCTCGCTCGCTCGCTCGCTCGCTCGCTCGCTCGCTCGCTCGCTCGCTCGCTCGCTCTCTCGCTCGCTCGCTCGCTCGCTCGCTCGTCCTCGCTCGCTCGCTCGCTCGCTCGCTCGCTCGCTCGCTCGCTCGCTCGCTCGCTCGCTCGCTCGCTCGCTCGCTCGCTCTCTCGCTCGCTCGCTCGCTCGCTCGCTCGCTCGCTCGCTCGCTCGCTCGCTCGCTCGCTCGCTCGCTCGCTCGCCTCGCGCTCGCTCGCTCGCTCGCTCGCTCGCTCGCTCGCTCGCTCGCTCGCTCGCTCGCTCGCTCGCTCGCTCGCTCGCTCGCTCGCTCGCTCTCTCGCTCGCTCGCTCGCTCGCTCGCTCGCTCGCTCGCTCGCTCGCTCGCTCGCTCGCTCGCTCGCTCGCTCGCTCGCTCTCTCGCTCGCTCTCTCGCTCGCTCGCTCGCTCGCTCGCTCGCTCGCTCGCTCCTCGCTCGCTCGCTCGCTCGCTGCTCGCTCGCTCGCTCGCTCGCTCGCTCGCTCGCTCGCTCGCTCGCTCGCTCGCTCGCTCGCTCGCTCGCTCGCTCGCTCGCTCGCTCGCTCGCTCGCTCGCTCTCGCTCGCTCGCTCGCTCGCTCGCTCGCTCGCTCGCTCGCTGCTCTCTCGCTCGCTCGCTCGCTCTCGCTCGCTCGCTCGCTCGCTCGCTCGCTCGCTGCTCTCGCTCGCTCGCTCGCTCGCTCGCTCGCTCGCTCTCGCTCGCTCGCTCGCTCGCTCGCTCGCTCTCTCGCTCGCTCGCTCGCTCGCTCGCTCGCTCGCTCGCTCGCTCGCTCGCTCGCTCGCTCGCTCGCTCGCTGCTCGCTCGCTCGCTCGCTCGCTCGCTCGCTCGCTCGCTCGCTCGCTCGCTCTCTCGCTCGCTCGCTCGCTCGCTCGCTGCTCGCTCGCTCGCTCGCTCGCTCGCTCGCTCGCTCGCTCGCTCTCTCGCTCGCTCGCTCGCTCGCTCGCTCGCTCGCTCCGCTCGCTTCTGTCCCGCCCCTGTGCCTCTCCCCCCCCCCCCTCTTGTCGGTCTCCCCCTTGGTTCGGTCTCTCGGCTTGTTCCCCGTTTTTTCTCTGGCCCCCGTGCTTCGTAAGCCATTGTTAAATATAATATGTATTTGTTTTTGTATGTATTTCATATAAATCATCGAAAATATATGCGTATATTCGTATACTAACACAAAGGTTAATATTGTCTTATAATACAACACTGTTCAATTTATTGGTTGCTTTGGTAACTCTACAAAAACATTACTTTTCTTATCAAGTGTTCATCGCTTGCGTGTTCATTTTACACACAAAAAACGAGTTTATTTTCGAAAAGAAGACGAAACAAATCTTTTTTTTAGTGACTAGCTGCAATTTGTGAGAACAACGCCGCCGATTATTTAAGCGACGTCAAAATAGAAGAATAAAAGTGAAATAGAATTGGTACTAAAGAAATTATAAAAGAAAAAAAATATTTATTTAAATAGAATTTTTACTACTAAAGTTTTATAATTTGCAACGCTCGATAGCAAATAATATTTGCCATAGAAGGAAAGAAATGTGCAACGTGTTTATTTTCCCCGGAAAACAATCAAGTCGAAGCTTTTTCTTCTTTTTTGGATTTCCGAAAAAAGTGGTATACACGACGACGACGACGACGAATCAAAGAAGTGGAAAAAAAAGCGACGAAACAAAAAATGAAATGAATACAAAAAATCTAAAATATTGGACTACGTGGAAAATTTTTCCATAAAAGATGTTGGTTTTATTTTTAAGCCGGTTTATAGAAAAATGTATTAAGTGTGATTTTCTTAATAACTTTTATGCAGGTTTATGTTCTAAAATGGACACGTATTAAATTATTTATATTGTTTTGGAGGGGTGTGGTGTGTATGTTTATTGCCTGCCTTTTCCTTTATACATCCCATATCAATATTTTTTTGGGGTTTGTGTGTGTGTGTATGTGGCATGTTTGATCTGTTACCTTTGATAATAATGTAGTAATGCCAGACGGTTAAAAACATTGGTGGCAAGAAGTGTTTTTCAGTCATCCCGCCAATAAGGGGATGAGATTTAAACAATCCAAAAAATTAGGTGAAGAATTATGCGCAGACGTTTTTTGTTATAACAGATTCCGTAATTTCTTTCCCGAAATCGAATGATTTTTTATCTAAATCCTAGTTTATACCCCAAATGGCTCTTTGTCATGATGATAAAGCCCATTCCATTGTACATCAGCATTGATCATTACTAGGGCCCTTTGACCACTCCATCTTAGTCTCTTTTGTCATTATAATGTTGCCCTTGGATCAATGGGTTGTCAATTTGACGAATAGATTCAACATCCCTTAACGAGATGGCGAATTAGATACCAGGCAATACCATTGCGGCCTACCTTGCGAAACGAGTCTTCTCAAGAGAGCATATGGACAATTTCGTCGGCATTCTGCTTTCCAGGTGGTCGACTGGCGAAGATCATTCGGGCTTCAAACAAGCCACATAGATCTCAAGCTTTATAGGCCTGTGTTATTTTCAAATAGTTAGATGCATAAATTAATCTATAAATTGAGAGATATCGGTAAAAATTTACTAATATCTAAAAAGCCGGCCGGTTAAAATATTTTTTGTTTATTTTTACAACAACAATTACATTACCAGTTCTCATACTAAAGTAAACTAAGTCATGGCAATAGTCGTAGGTAGTGTCGAAAATATTAAACATACAACTAAAATATCTACAAAAACAATTTAATAGAAAACTTTTTGTACAAAATTTTCAAAGTTTCCCCAAGTATGTACAATGTACATTTAATATTTATATGAGGTAATAGTGTGTGCTATTTTTTTTGTTTTACTTTTTTGTTTAATAATATTTATAATTAAATAAGGAAACAAAAGGGCAAACAAATTTTGCAAACATTAATAGTAGTTTGTTTTAACTCTTGCCAGACATGCTACAAAAATTACGAAAGATCCATAAAACAAAACCATGTCGTTTATGAGTACTATGCTTTCAGTTCATTCTTTTATTAAGGCCTTTTGTATGACTGTGGTCAACATATTTTCAACAAGCGATAGAAATATTTGTAGAGACGGACAAAAATAAAGAGAAAAATAAGCCACGTGTTAAAATTTCTTGCAAATAGAAGATAAAATAGAAAAGAATTTGAAATTTCTATTTAATTCAAATGACCGATTGTGGTAGAAAAGAAAAGAGAATCAATTTTAGTATTTTTCTTTAAATTGTTTTAAAATTATAAAATTAAAAGAAGATTTCCATAAGTTACTTTTGTCTTTTGTGTATATCAATAGAATGCAATTCTAACATAATATATAAATAGTATATTTTCTTTTTTTCTATAAAACCTACATTGTTTTAGCTACAACCCTCCATCTGTTAAATTCTAAACCAGATAACATATTTGTTTACTTATTATTTACTGTTATTATTTTGCTAACAAAAAACAATATTAAGAAATAAAGAAAACTTTCAACCTTTCTACCATAATTCATCCATCTCACCAATCACAATTGAAACACATCATCATTTTTTTTGTATAAAATAAAAAAAAAACAAGCTAGCTGCATTTGTTAAAATTTTTTGTTTATTAAACATATTTATGCTTTTGAAATAAATTTTATAAGTACTTGAGCTTAGTACTTAGCAATTACTGATAACATTTTAACTAAAACAAAAAATTGCCAACGTCAAGTATGTTTTAAACTTTGCTAATCTGTTTTTTTAATATATTTTTAAAATTCTAACATATTGTTGTTGTTTTTTTCATTATATTCAAATAAGGGTCTATTAGTATTTTATTTGTAACACTTTTATTTGACACAATTGTTTGATTATTGATTATAAGTAGTAGTTATTGACACTTAATAATTAATAAATTACTTATTTTTTTTTATATTTACCTTCTGTTAACAATTTTATGTTAAACTATTTACGTTTTTTTGTTTACATTTATTAAATTATCAGCAATAGATAACAAGTAATGAATCTTTATCTTCCAAAGACATCTCTTACATTTGAGTTCTTTTAGTTTTTGAATTATGTCTCTTTTATCTCTAATATAATATTAATTATTTTCTTTTACAATCTTTAATTTATTTCTTTTGTTTTCTTAAACGAGAATTTAAGTAATGTCTTCTTTACAACGAAGTTTCATTTGAGTGGAATACTTAAATAAACCTGATAACATCATGTAATCAGTCATTCACTCATATTTTATCTCTGCACAACAAAACCCAGTCGTTATATTATAAAAAAAAAACAAATGACAATAATAAAAACGTAATACATATTACCCTATTAAATACTATATGCATGTCAGATATGGACAGTTTATTGTTATTGAACTTTTTCCTGTAAATTTCCATCAAAATACATTTTCTTCTCACAGTGATTAAAATACTTTGCAAAGTGATATACAGTCTATAGTCTTATTTATAGTCTTATTTATAGTCTATAGTCTAGTCTATAGTCTAGGTCTATAGTCTAGTCTATAGTCTAGTCTATAGTCTAGTCTATAGTCTAGTCTATAGTCTAGTCTATAGTCTAGTCTATAGTCTAGTCTATAGTCTAGTCTATAGTCTAGTCTATAGTCTAGTCTATAGTCTATAGTCTAGTCTATAGTCTAGTCTATAGTCTAGTCTATAGTCTAGTCTATAGTCTAGTCTATAGTCTAGTCTATAGTCTAGTCTATAGTCTAGTCTATAGTCTAGTCTATAGTCTAGTCTATAGTCTAGTCTAGTCTAGTCTATAGTCTAGTCTATAGTCTAGTCTATAGTCTAGTCTATAGTCTAGTCTATAGTCTAGTCTATAGTCTAGTCTATAGTCTAGTCTATAGTCTAGTCTATAGTCTAGTCTATAGTCTAGTCTATAGTCTAGTCTATAGTCTAGTCTATAGTCTAGTCTATAGTCTAGTCTATAGTCTAGTCTATAGTCTAGTCTATAGTCTAGTCTATAGTCTAGTCTATAGTCTAGTCTATAGTCTAGTCTATAGTCTAGTCTATAGTCTAGTCTATAGTCTAGTCTATAGTCTAGTCTATAGTCTAGTCTATAGTCTAGTCTATAGTCTAGTCTATAGTCTAGTCTATAGTCTAGTCTATAGTCTAGTCTATAGTCTAGTCTATAGTCTAGTCTATAGTCTAGTCTATAGTCTAGTCTATAGTCTAGTCTATAGTCTAGTCTATAGTCTAGTCTATAGTCTAGTCTATAGTCTAGTCTATAGTCTAGTCTATAGTCTTGTCTATAGTCTAGTCTATAGTCTAGTCTATAGTCTAGTCTATAGTCTAGTCTATAGTCTTGTCTATACTCTAGTCTATAGTCTAGTCTATAGTCTAATTTATAATGTAGTCTTTAGACTGGTCTATAACTTAGTCTATAATTTGTCATTCTACTGTTATTTTCCCCTTTTTTCCATTTCCTAATTTTCTAAATTTCCAACCCTGTGTCTTCCATACCACTTGCTACAAATCATCAACACACCAGCTACATAAATAATGAAAAGTGGTTAGGAGCGGGTGTAAAAACTAATACAAATGAACAAATTTCAATCAGCTGTTAAGTTGTTTTTGTGTGCTTTACTGCCCTGGTATAACTCTTGTGCATTGAGCCGAATAACAAATACAATAAACTTTAACAAAATAAAATTAATATGCATAAAATGTTCGTAAAAAGACTATATATGTATTGACAAAAACAAAAAAATCAATAATAATAATGAAAAAAAAAATCAAGTTATTTTTACGTTTTTCGAAAATACAATAAACAGTTAAACTAGAAAAATTGATATAACTTTAAGCGCAAAATTTGTGGCACTTATCTGAGCAAAGAGTTTTCTATTCAATATTTAAGTTAAAACTGAAAATTCTAAATAATTTATTACAAAAGGTGTGTCTCGTAGATGTTGTAATAATGAAATTACTTTTTTAATTGTTTTAACATGTTCAACTTTAAATAGTACTTTTGAAATATATGAACCTTAAGGTCGTAGTGTGAGTATAGGTTTTCGTAAATTATAAAAATTGCAAAATTTTAATATATTTTGTTTTTCACTATTTAACCGTTAGCGTATTTTAGCAAAAATGAGATTTTTGTTGTAATTGGCGATTTTTGTCAATAGTCTAGTATATACTCTAGTCTATAGTCTAGTCTATAGTCTAGTCTATAGTCTTAGTCTATAGTCTAGTCTATAGTCTAGTCTATAGTCTAGTCTATAGTCTAGTCTATAGTCTAGTCTATAGTCTAGTCTATAGTCTAGTCTATAGTCTAGTCTATAGTCTAGTCTATAGTCTAGTCTATAGTCTAGTCTATAGTCTAGTCTATAGTCTAGTCTATAGTCTAGTCTATAGTCTAGTCTATAGTCTAGTCTATAGTCTAGTCTATAGTCTAGTCTATAGTCTAGTCTATAGTCTAGTCTATAGTCTAGTCTATAGTCTAGTCTATAGTCTAGTCTATAGTCTAGTCTATAGTCTAGTCTATAGTCTAGTCTATAGGTCTAGTCTATAGTCTAGTCTATAGTCTAGTCTATAGTCTGTAGTCTAGTCTATAGTCTAGTCTATAGTCTAGTCTATAGTCTAGTCTATAGTCTAGTCTATAGTCTAGTCTATAGTCTAGTCTATAGTCTAGTCTATAGTCTAGTCTATAGTCTAGTCTATAGTCTATTCTAGTCTATAGTCTAGTCTATAGTCTAGTCTATAGTCTAGTCTATAGTCTAGTCTATAGTCTAGTCTATAGTCTAGTCTATAGTCTAGTCTATAGTCTAGTCTATAGTCTAGTCTATAGTCTAGTCTATAGTCTAGTCTATAGTCTAGTCTATAGTCTAGTCTATAGTCTAGTCTATAGTCTAGTCTATAGTCTAGTCTATAGTCTAGTCTATAGTCTAGTCTATAGTCTAGTCTATAGTCTAGTCTATAGTCTAGTCTATAGTCTAGTCTATAGTCTAGTCTAGTCTAGTCTATAGTCTAGTCTATAGTCTAGTCTATAGTCTAGTCTATAGTCTAGTCTATAGTCTAGTCTATAGTCTAGTCTATAGTCTAGTCTATAGTCTAGTCTATAGTCTAGTCTATAGTCTAGTCTATAGTCTATCTATAGTCTAGTCTATAGTCTAGTCTATAGTCTAGTCTATAGTCTAGTCTATAGTCTAGTTTATAGTCTAGTCTATAGTCTAGTCTATAGTCTTGTCTATAGTATAGTTTATTCTAGTCTTGTCTAAAAATTGGTAAATAGTTTTGTCTTGATCCTCCTTGTCACAGCTTCTTCATACTTCGTTAAGCGAAGAATCTTTACTCTTCTAGCCAGAAGGCAATTAAACATGACATTCTGTTTTAAATAACTGCTATTTAAGCTCTTGAATTCGTTTGTTGTTAGGTGTCCTAATTAACAGACCAATACTGTATGTATTTATAATAATTTATAATGGAAGCATGTAGATTTTTTTCTTATCTAACGTTTACTAAAGTGTTGAACCATTATTGTTTTAACATTTCTTAAAAGCAACCGGTCCTGGCCTTTGTACCTTTTGTTTTATGATTAAAAGAAAGTCATTAACAATTCAAAATTTAAAAACAGCTAACCAACTTCGCAATATTAAGTATAAACAACAAAGTTTTTATTATTATTTATAAACATTTCACAAATTTTGTGAAAGTTTCTTTTCTTTCTTTTATATTTTTTAAGGAAAAAAACACGTTAAACATTTCTTTCTTTAAAAAGGCTAAACAAGTATTAAACAAAACTCGATTTAAATAAATATAAACAAAAGTAAATGATTAAAATTAATTATAAATAACAAAAAAACAATACTTTTTTCTATCTAGTTTTAGTTAAGCTACAAAAGTCGTACTTTTTTTTATAAACACATATTGTTAAAATTTTGATACTCAAATTTTAAATAATAAATTTTTAAAAAACAAAAAAATGGCACAAAATTCCAAAAGCAATAAGAACAAACAAAACAAACAACAGCAACCGGCTGGTAAAAAGGTAAAAAATAGTTTTAAACTAAGTTTTAACAATCTACACTATAAACTAATTTTCAAATTCAAATAATGGTATTATTAATTATTAATTGACTTTTTTGTTCATCTTCTTCTTATATAGAGTGTACAAGAGAAAACCGCACAACAAAAGAAGAAACAAACCACAGAACAAAAGAAAAGAGGTTGCGGTTGTTGTAAATGGGCTTTTGGTAGCATATTGCTTGTAGCGTTGATCGCCGGTGCTCTTTTCTATGATACCGAAGTCAATGGTAAAGGTGTCTTTGCCAAATCCGCTACTGGTAAAGTTTTACAAAATGCCGGTCTTTTGCCACATGTCGAAAAGGCTTGGTATACCACCATGAGTACTGCTGCTCGTGGTTACAAATGGGCTGAAAAGAATTTACCACCCTATACGAAACCCATTTGTCAATTGGTTTGTGATGTCTCGAAATTGGTGCGTAATGCTGCTTGCAATGCATTTACCGCTACCAAAGATCTGTTAAATGCCAAATTACCAGTAGCAGCTGAATTCGTAAGTTTTCATTTTGTTTTATAACTAATTTATTGTTTTGTATTTAATAATTGTTTTATAATAACATACAATCATATTTTATATTCATAGTTAAAAATGTTTGTTGTTTTGCATGACATCATCTCTTGTTTTGTCGCTTTTTAAAGTATTAATCACCTTAAAATTGTTGTTATTGTTTTATGATCTTTTCTGTTTTTTTTTCATTTCACATTCGAGTTTTTTTTTGAAATTTCTATTATAGTTTTTTTGACCTTATATTTTCTATTCTTCATCATCTTAAAGTTGTTTTCTACATCCATGTTAAATTTTAATAAAAGGTGTATAAATTGATATTATCGTTTTTTTATAAAAATATTTAATTTTATTAACTGTGTTTTAAAATTAACAACAATATAGTTAACATTTGATCACTTTAATGATGTCAGGAAAAAAGTTAATTTTCATTTATATACAATGATTTATCATAAACAAAATGAGTGAAAATTAATCAAAATAATATGTATTAAAAGCGCACAACTGGAGCTATATTGGTCTAGGTGTAACTCTTCCTCCTATGAAGCAAACCTAAACTAAGGCACTCTATGTCTCTTGGAAATAGCTTTTAAAAGTTCTACAATTTTTTCCAAAAACTTTAATGTAATTGTTTATAAAAGCTTTATAAAGCTTTTTTTCTAAAACGTTTATTTACTAAATACTTTTTTCTAAAATTCTTAATTTAGAAAGAAAGCTTTTTTTGTTTGCAAAATGATTTTTGTTGTTTAAAAAAAATAGCAAAAAAAACTGTTTATAAAGGGCCTTTTTATAAAAAGAAGCTTGTTTAAGCAACTTTTTAAAACAAGTTTACAAAAAAAGCTTTTTTTTAATCTAGTTTGAAAAATTTATTGTGAAAAAAGTTTTAATCTAAAGAAATTTTATTAAAAAAATATTATATATTGTAAGTTTATTTACTATAAAAATTTCTGACATTTTATTTACAGAAAACAAAGCTTTTTCTAAAAAGCTTATTTTTTACTTATGCTTTTACAAAAAAACATATTTTTACAAAAAAGCTTTTACTAAAAAGCATATTTTTAGCAAAAAAGCTTTTACTAAAAACTTTAAAAAAAGCTATTCCAAAAACTTACTGAAACACTTTTTTATAAAAAGATTATTAAAAAAAAGCTTTTTTCTAAAATGCATATTATGATCAAAAAAGTTTTTTTCGAAAAATTTCTATAAAAATATTTATTGATTTTTTCACAAAAAAAGCTTTTTTCCAATAAATTCAAAATCTTATACAAAGTTTTTCTAAAAAAAACCTGCTAAAAAGCCATTTTTTACAAAAAGTTTTATTCTAAGTATTAATTTTTTTACAAAAAATCTTTTTTCCAAAGCTTTAACTTTTAAAGCTTATTTACAAAAGGCTTTTATTCAAAAAAGGAAAAGGGATGTTTCTTAAAGGCTTATTTATAAAACAAGTTTCTATATTTTTAAAAAGCTTATTTTAATTTTTTTTCTTAAAGATTTATAGAAAATTTGTTTTGGAAAATGTTTTTATTAAAAAAAACTTTTCGAAAAAAATTATTTTGAAAAAAGCATTATTTCTGATCTTATTTTCCAAAAAAGCTTATTATTCAAAAACCTTTTTCTCCAAAGTAAATTTTTCGAAACAATTTTTTTTAAAAGCTTTAACAATTTGTTAAAAGCTTTCTCTTTCTTAAAATGCTTATTTTGAAAAAAACTTTACTGATAAATTTTTATCAAAGAACTTTTACTGTTATATACAAACAACTTTTTTCTTTGAAGCTTTTTTGAAATACTTTTTAAAAAGCTTTTTTTTTTGGAAAAAAATTCTAAAAAATATTTTCTTTAAATTATTATTAAAATGCTTTTTTCTTAAAGTCTTATTCAGAAAGAAACTTGCTTAAAAATGGTTTCATGTTTTTAAAAAGCTTATTTTAAAAAATCTTCTGTAATAAAAGAATTTCTAAAAATTTTATAATTTAAAAAGCCTTTTTCTAAAAGTTTTTATTAAAAAACTTGTTTTGAAAAAAGCTTTCTTGATGTTATTTTTCAAAAAGTTTATTATTCAAAAAAGCTTTTTCTCAAAAGTCTTTTTTCTAAAAAGTTTTAAAAAAGCTTTTTTCTAAAATATTTTAAAAAATCTTAAGCTTTTTTAGATTTTCAAAGAACTTTTGCTGTTTTATACAAAAATTAAACTTTTTTCATTAAAATTAAAATTTCTTTAAACTATTAATAAAAGGCTTTTTTTCTTAAAGACTTATTTAGAAAAAAGCTTTTGTAAGAAAGCTTATTTTTAAAAATCTTACGTAAAAAAGGATTTCTAAAAAGCTTATTAAAAATCATTTTTCTAAAAAGGTTCAATAAAAAATATTCTGATCTTGTTGTTCAAAAAGCTTATTCAAAAAAGATTTTTTTCAAAAGCTAATTTATAAAAAAAAATTTCATTAAAATTATTTAAAAAAAAATTAAACTTATTTAAAAAAATGTTTTTTCACAAAAAAAAAAATATATTTTTTTTAAAAGCTTTAAAAAAAGCTTCATTGCAAGATCGAAACTCAATAATGAAATTTAAACTCAATAATTTTCTACAATTTACACATTTTTTCAGTTGGAACAATACGTGCCCGGTTTACCCAAGAAAATTGAAAACACAGCAGGTACTGTAAAAACGGTTTCATTGGATGTTTATGGCAAGGCTGTTGCTTTCTTCAAGACTCAAGTGTTGGTGTAAGTATTTGAACATATATATTCCAAATACTATTATTATTCTAAATCGATATCCTCTTCTTATAGTGGACGTTTGTCACCTGAAAATTTAAGTAAAACCTTTAATCAAACTCAAACTTTGGCCTTGGAATACTTCAATCAATTCCATAAAAAAGTTGATGCTTATGCCAAACTGAAATGATTTCCCACAACAGCAGCAAATGACATCCTACTAAAACATTCACATCAACAACAACAACAGCAGCCGCAGCAGCATCAGTCACATTTGTAAAAAAAAAGAAAAACTTAAAAGAAAATTTGGTTTATTGCTAGATATCACCAGTACAGCAGCAGCCATATTCTTTAAACTCAACTCAAGATCTATATAAATAATAAAACAAACGAAATATCTCAACATTATCATGTCTCGACGTGTGTGTGTGCTGTAAATTAAATTCTAGTTTAATAGTTTTTACTCTATTCTATACAGAAAACAAATAAAAAATGCAGCAGTTGTCTATACAAAAAAAAAGGCTGCAATTTAGTGAAAAAAAAGAATATTTTATAAAAAAAATTTAATGAAAAAAAATTGTAATATTTGATTTAGTATAAAAAAGAGTGTAGTGCAGGAAAATGTGTTAATGAATTTTAATTGTATATTTAGATTTGTTAATAATTATTTTCATTTGGTAAACAGCATAAACATTTATATAATTAAACTTATTTAAGCGAATAAAGTCAAACAGTACTGAAACAAAGATAAATAGAAACAAACATTTAAATATCTATAAACTATGTTGATGTTAATTAAGAAAACCACCAACAACTACACACAACCCCCTCAAAAAAACAAAACATTTTTGAATGAAAATATTAAAAAAAAAATTGATATTTATAACCAATAACAGCAGAAGAGTAGCAGAAAGAAAGCTTTAAAAATATTTAAGTTTTGTGGCCATTTAGCAATATAATTAAAAACCCATTCATTGTTTTTTTATTTCTTGCTGGCCTCTCTTTTTATTAAAGATTCTCGTAAACAAATTCCATTTGCAAAAATGTTTTATAATTAGCTTAAATTACAAAACATTTATTATAACTTAAACATTCTAAATATCATTGATATAAAAGCATTTTTCGAAATAAGTTGTGCTTTCGAAGCAAAACAAAAAGCTCTAAAATATTCCAATTTATTTTCAAATAAAACAATTTAAGTTGGTTACCATCATCTTAACTATCTCTCTACTTAGTTTATGTTAATTTTTATAAATATATATAATTTTTTTTTAATTTTACTTAGTTTTCATTGAAAAGTGTCAAGTCTTTTTTAAATAAAATTGATTAAAAAGAAATAATTGAAAAAAATGTTTGAGTCTTGTTTGATTATTTGTATTTGTTGGGAAAAGTGAACAAGTTTGGTGAAATTTGAAATCAGATTTTTATACAATTTCATTCAACGTGATCAAATACTTTGGAAAACTAAACAAATTTGTGTTTGTGAATTGCCTTGTTTTGTTAACATTTTCTTTGAATTAGGTTTTAAAGATATTGTGTCGTTAATATTAAAACAGCCGGTTTTTGGTTTACTTTTTATTATAACCACGCGAAGATGCCTCTCTTTCAAAAACTGGTGTTGTTTGTAATATCTATGCAAGAATTTAAAATGTTGCCGCCCTAAAGTATGTTATCTCCTTTAAATTTAATGTTATTCACCTTTATTATAATACTGCCAGATTGTAAAAGCTACAGCAAGCTGACTAATTCAATAGAAATTTAATTTCTTTTTATATTTTCTGAAAGTGCTTGGATAAATCTGGAAAAAATGCTTGCGTTGTAGACTAGACTATAAACTAGACTATAGACTAGACTAGACTATAGACTAGACTAGACTATAGACTAGACTAGACTAGACTAGACTAGACTAGACTAGACTATAGACTAGACTAGACTAGAACTAGACTAGACTATAGACTAGACTAGACTATAGACTAAGACTAGACTATAGACTAGACTAGACCATAGACTAGACTATAGACTAGACTATAGACTAGACTATAGACTAGACTAATAGACTAGACTATAGACTAGACTATAGACTAGACTATAGACTAGACTATAGACTAGACTATAGACTAGACTATAGACTAGACTATAGACTAGACTATAGACTAGACTATAGACTAGACTATAGACTAGACTATAGACTAGACTATAGACTAGACTATAGACTAGACTATAGACTAGACTATAGACTAGACTATAGACTAGACTATAGACTAGACTATAGACTAGACTATAGACTAGACTATAGACTAGACTATAGACTAGACTATAGACCTATAGACTAGACTAGACTAGACTATAGACTAGACTATAGACTAGACTATAGACTAGACTATAGACTAGACTATAGACTAGACTATAGACTAGACTATAGACTAGACTATAGACTAGACTATAGACTAGACTATAGACTAGACTATAGACTAGACTATAGACTAGACTATAGACTAGACTATAGACTAGACTATAGACTAGACTATAGACTAGACTATAGACTAGACTATAGACTAGACTATAGACTAGACTATAGACTAGACTATAGACTAGACTATAGACTAGACTATAGACTAGACTATAGACTAGACTATAGACTAGACTATAGACTAGACTATAGACTAGACTATAGACTAGACTATAGACTAGACTATAGACTAGACTATAGACTAGACTATAGACTAGACTATAGACTAGACTATAGACTAGACTAGACTAGACTATAGACTAGACTAGACTATAGACTAGACTATAGACTAGACTATAGACTAGACTATAGACGAGACTATAGACTAGACTATAGACTAGACTAGACTAGACTATAGACTAGACTATAGACTAGACTATAGACTAGACTATAGACTAGACTATAGACTAGACTATAGACTAGACTATAGACTAGACTATAGACTAGACTATAGACTAGACTATAGACTAGACTATAGACTAGACTATAGACTAGACTATAGACTAGACTATAGACTAGACTATAGACTAGACTATAGACTAGACTATAGACTAGACTATAGACTAGACTATAGACTAGACTATGACTAGACTATAGACTAGACTATAGACTAGACTATAGACTAGACTATAGACTAGACTATAGACTAGACTATAGACTAGACTATAGACTAGACTATAGACTAGACTATAGACTAGACTATAGACTAGACTATAGACTAGACTATAGACTAGACTATAGACTAGACTATAGACTAGACTATAGACTAGACTATAGACTAGACTATAGACTAGACTATAGACTAGACTATAGACTAGACTATAGACTAGACTATAGACTAGACTATAGACTAGACTATAGACTAGACTATAGACTAGACTATAGACTAGACTATAGACTAGACTATAGACTAGACTATAGACTAGACTATAGACTAGACTATAGACTAGACTATAGACTAGACTATAGACTAGACTATAGACTAGACTATAGACTAGACTATAGACTAGACTATAGACTAGACTATAGACTAGACTATAGACTAGACTATAGACTAGACTATAGACTAGACTATAGACTAGACTATAGACTAGACTATAGACTAGACTATAGACTAGACTATAGACTAGACTATAGACTAGACTATAGACTAGACTATAGACTAGACTATAGACTAGACTATAGACTAGACTATAGACTAGACTATAGACTAGACTATAGACTAGACTATAGACTAGACTATAGACTAGACTATAGACTAGACTATAGACTAGACTATAGACTAGACTATAGACTAGACTATAGACTAGACTAGAATAGACTATAGACTAGACTATGGACTAGACTATAGACTAGCCTATAGACTAGACTATAGACTAGACTATAGACTAGACTATAGACTAGACTATAGACTAGACTATAGACTAGACTATAGACTAGACTATAGACTAGACTATAGACTAGACTATAGACTAGACTATAGACTAGACTATAGACTAGACTATAGACTAGACTATAGACTAGACTATAGACTAGACTATAGACTAGACTATAGACTAGACTATAGACTAGACTATAGACTAGACTATAGACTAGACTATAGACTAGACTATAGACTAGACTATAGACTAGACTATAGACTAGACTATAGACTAGACTAGACTAGACTATAGACTAGACTATAGACTAGACTATAGACTAGACTATAGACTAGACTATAGACTAGACTAGATAATAGACTAGATAATAGACTAGACTATAGACTAGACTATAGACTAGACTAGACTATAGATTATAGACTAGACTATAGTCTATACTATAGACTAGATTATAGACTAGATATTAAATTAGACTATAATCTAGACTATAGACCAGAATATAGTCTGTAGTCTAGATTATAGACTAGACTTTAGTCGGGAATAAGAAAGCATTCTTTTAAATTTTTAATGGTGGAGCAAATTTTTAAAACCTATAGCAATTCCGCTAAGATTTCTTATGCTTTTAATCTCTTCGGAAATATATATGGACTAGTAAAGTAATAATTCAAATGTTCTTTTAAAATTATTTTGTGAGGAACATAAATTTTATTTAATAGGAAAAAGCGACATTACACTGAGAATTGTCTTTATTTTTAGGGATATTTCTCCTTACTATTGCAACCATTGGTATGGTTGCATTTATAGCAGATGTAATTTTCGTCATCATGACAATTGTCAACGGTTAGTAAGGGTTGATCCTGAAGACAACCACGTTCAATTGTAGAATCATTCATGTGGAGATAACAGTATTCGGATTCATTATAAAAAAGTTCATTTTCACATTCCTCAAATACCTGACTAGTTTGAGTTTTGAAACATTCGTTTTCTTGATCGTCACTGGTGCACTGATGACACCTGAGCTTTTGTTCATATTTATACTTTAGATTATTGCAATTATCGCTGGTACAATAGGCACAACCCACAGCAGCGTCAGAACATGGATTATCCTTGGTATCGGACTTGCAACCACGTATCATGTCGGTCTCACTCTTGGCTATGGTATAGCATCGATCGTCCTCTTCGTAATTAGTACAGGCCTTGTAAACTATATTATCAGCAGTAACATCTAGGCAGCTGCTACCAGTGCACTGATAGCAAATGATACGTTTTTTAGGATATATACCAGAATTGCAATTGATACTGTCACATATTTCACAGACATTTGCATCGGTACATTTGATGATATCAGTCTCAGTGGCACAATCTCTAACGACAAGTTTTTCTTCGACTTTCTTTAAACATTTCTTAATACCCTCTTCGCAGATTTGATTGTATTTTAGATCGTTAATATTCATATCGGTTTGTGAGCACTTTTCATCGGTTGCATCACATTTTTTGCAAATAAATTGATTGTTTTTTTCCTCATCAGTAATAATGCAATTATTTTCGGCTTTACAATTTTGGGCTTCATCGTCGGTTTTGCAGCCTCTTTCTATGTTGCCACTGGTGTCTAGGAGAAAATAATTAAGACATTTTAGTAATATGGAATTAACTGTCAAATTAACCTTCAAATTCAACTATTATATGAGTCCAGCCTCTAGTCTAGACTATAATTCAGGCTAGTTACTGAAGACCCTGACTAGACTATTGTCCATAGTAGAGACTAGTCTAGTTCTAGACTAGATTATAGACAGCAAACCCTAGTATAGACTATAGTCCAGATTGCAGACTTTTTATAGTCTATATATGTATATATTAAGTAGAATGTAGTTCGTACTCTAAACTAGACTTTGACATCAGACTAGATAATATATGCATATATATATATATCGGCATAATAAAAATTATGTTATAGTTCAGAATAAAGATTATTGTTCAGATTATGTAATGGGTGGAGAAGGTTTTGAACTCCAAATTTATACTTACCAATTTGTGTAAAGCATTTTGTGTGATGGTTATCAGGA